CCCCCCCCCCCCGCCCCTCACCTGCGCTGTCGAGCTCTCCTGTCTTCCCGCACTGGACCCCCGACCTTTTTACATTGGTGTTCTGATGGCTGCCCGTCTGTCTCCGCCTCACCGAGCGCGGGCTTCGTCTGCAAGGCGGCGTGAAGAATGACTGCCCGATTGCCCGCCCGCCTGGGGCAGGCGCCGAGATGCCCGCGCATCTTCTCCAGGCTGAGCCCAGGCCGCCCGGGCCTGGCCCACCTCAGGAAGAGCCTCAGCCTGAGGGGTGGGAGTGGGGGGTGCTTTGCTGGTCTGTAAGGGCCCGGGTCAGGTGCGCACATCCAAGGAAGGGCTCAGCTCAGGCCCCAAGAGGACCCTCCTCCAGGGAGCAGCGGGCGGCTGCTTGCTGCCTGCCGCACAGTGGCCAGCTCCACCCCATCCCACGCGCCCTACACAGCCCTGGCTTGCCTGCTCAGCGCCTTCCACTCTCTCTCCTGTGCATTTCTTGGCCGCTGGGCAGGGCTCCCGCTCTGCATCCCCACCGGCCCACCCACACCTGGAGCCGGAAGCGGGCCTGGCCGCCGGGTGAGAGTGGTCCCTGCCAGCGGGCCCTTACAGTGGGAGGTGCTTGGGCATGGTGAGGTCACTCTAGGAGAGGAGTTTGGGGGTTCAGGAGCACAGCAGTCTTTGCTGAGGGGGGCAGGTTGCAGGCAGTGGTGCGGAGCGGCCACATTCAGAGGCCAGGGCAGAAGCACAAGCCTTGGGGCTTTACTCTTCACCCCACAAGGAAGTGGTGGGAGACAGCCCCACTGCCCAGCCGCAACCCGGCTGTGCTCAGCAGAACATCAGGTCGTCCTGGGGGAGGGCGTGGGGCGGCTGTGCCTCTGCTGCCAGCCTGCTGTCCTTTGGGTGTTGGTTTTGTTTTTAATCTATTTTTGTTTTGAAATATAATGAATATTCAGAAGAGAACATAAAACAAACATACAGCCTAATGATTTGTCATAAGAATCTCCAGACATCGGCCATCCCGGTGAAGACTAAAACCCCATCCCCGCCCTGAAGCTGTTCCCCTCCTCCCAGGGCAGGGCCACCCAGTCTCCCCTTGGCCTGGACCCACGGAGCGCACGCCCCTAACAGGGCGACTGGTTCCTAAACGCCGCGGCTGGTGTTTGCCTGTTCTGGAACCTTCCTTCATGCCTTGCTTCTTTCCACCAATGCTGTTTTTGTGAGATTCAGGGATGTTCCTGTTTATAGCTGGAGTTGGCTCACCTCCGTCGCTCCAGCGGACTCAGGTGTAGGAATGCCGTTTACTTGTTCGATGCTGGATGACGTCGTGGTGTGCACTTCTGCGGGAGCAGTGCTGCTGCACACGCTCGTGCACGCCCACCTTTCCACTGGGTGTCCACAGGAGCGGGGCTGGTCCCAGGCTTGCTGTCAGTAGACAGAGCAAGTTGCCCTCCCACGTGGCGTCTTTGCTCCCTGTGCTGTCCTGGTTCTGGTGGGCTTCAAAGAGTGTCCTCATGCTGGTTCTAATTTGTCTTCCTCAAGGAGGAAGGTTCCTAATGAGGGTGAGCACCTTGTCAGTATCCGTGGCCATCTGAAATCCTGTCTGTCCATTCTTCTTTTGGGTTATCTGTCTTTTTCTTTACCAACTTGAGATGTTCTTTGTGCGTTTTAGATATCTGCCATATGCTGGCTTCCTTGGGCTGCTGTACCAAATCACCACGACTGGGGGCTTAAACCACAGGCATGTCTTCTCTCACAGCTCTGGAGGCCTGAAGTCACAAATCAGGATGTCGGAAGGACCACGCTCCCTTCGAGGCTCTGTGGGGAGGCTCTGCTTGCTTCTTCCAGCTTCTGGTGGCTCCAGGTGTCCCTTGGCTTGTGGCTACCTCACTCCAGTCTCTTCCTCCATCTTCACACGGCCTCCTGCCTGTGTGTGTCTGTGCCCAAATTTCCCCCTTCTTATGAGCACACCAGTCTTTGGATTAGTGCCCACCCTAATCCAGTACAGCCCCATCTTAACCTGATGCCAGCTGCAAAGCCCCTGTTTCCAAATAAGGTCTCGTTCACAGCTCCTGGGGGTTAGGACTTGGGCATGTCTTCTTGTCGGACCCGCAACAAGCCCCCTGTCATTTATGGATTGCAAATGTCTTCTCCGTGTCTGGGTTTCTGTTTCCATTCTTTGAAGGCTGTGTTTTGATGAGTAGAATTTCTTAATTTTAATGTAGTCCTTTTATCAATATTTCCTTTTATGGTTAGTATTTATTTGTTATATTGAGGAGCTCTTTCCCTCCCTGACACCAGGAAAATACTCCCCCATATTATCTTCAAGATGCTTTTCTAATTTAGGATTATCTGCCTGGAGGAGTTTCTCCGTGTGGTGTAAGGCAGGGATCGGGTTCACTGTTTCCCATGTGGACATCTGTTTATTGAAAGCTGGCCATCCCCAACTTTGCAGCATCATCTCTGTCATAAACCCGTGGTCCATGTGTGTAGGGTGTTTCACGTGGGTCTTTGTCTACCACACATCAATACCACGTGACTTAGTTTCTGCTGCTGTGTAACAAGCTGGACAGCTTTGTTCTTTCTCAAGATGTCACGTGTGTTCGTGTCTCCCCACCTTCCATAGAACTTACAGTGCTGGTCAAGTTCACACGAAAAAATCCTGTTAGAATTTTGATTGGGATTTATTGATTCTACAGATATATTTTAGGAGGAAGTGCTATTTTAAACATGGAACCTTCCAAAATCCATGGCCGTATCCTTCCCCATCTAGGGGAAGTTTAGGTCCCCATTAAGGAGTTTAGGTCTTTGGTCTCGGTCTGTAAGGTTTTAACTGAGGTTTTTCACGTGGAGGTCCTTCTCCTCTCGTTGGAACTATTCTTGAGCACTTGATACTGTTTAAATGGAATCTTTCAAAAAATTATTTTCTAATTTTTTGTCACTAATAGAAATATAATTGATTTCTGATACCATAAACCCATCAACCTTGCTGAACTCACTTTTCAAGTTGCGGAACTCATCTGTAGATTCTTTTGGATTTTCCATACACAAAAGGTGTTTTCTCTGTGAGTAAGGAGAATATTACCCTCCCTCTCCAGGCCCTGTGGCTCTCATTTCTTTTTCCTGCCCTGCAGCGTGGCTGGGACCTCTCGCACCGTGACTTATGGACCTGACCGTAAAGGGCCTCTTTGTCCTCTTCCTGATCTTACTTTCACTGTTCATGCTCAGTAAGTTTTGCTGTAGGGATTTTTGTGGATACCTTTTATCAGATTACAGAATTTCTTTCTGCTCTTAGCATGCTAATAGATTTTTTTGAATAGTAAACAAATGTTGAATCTTATTAAGTACCTTTTGAGCTGCTGTTGAAATTGATCGGTGCTTTTTCTCCTTTATTCTGTTCACATGGTGAAAATACTGATTGTTTTTCAGATGGTAAACTAAGCTTCATTTCCAGAATACGCCCAACCTGCCCGTCGTACCATGTAACTTCTTTGTGTCTTGCTGGATTCCACCTGCTTGTGCTGCATTTGGGGCCTTTGCCTGGATGCTTGAGGGTGGGGTGGCCTGCACCGTCCCCTCTCACAGTGTCCATGCCAGGTTTGAGATCAAGGTTGTGTTGGCCTCATGAGCCAGGGCATGCCCCCTTATTCTTTTGTCAGAAGAGTTTTGTGTGGAATTTGCATTATTTCCTCCTTGGCCATCATCAGTGGAAGTCGGTGGTGATGGCGCCTGGGCCTGGAGCCCTTTGCCGGAAGAGTCGTTGTGCTCCTGACACAGGACTTTTCTTTCTTCTTTGGCTCAAGTGAGGATGTTTGGTTTCCTCCTTCTTGCGTTTGGAAGTCATTTGCTGCATTCCTTTTCCCTTAGCAGTCAGTCTAGAGGTGAAATCGCCTTCACCTTCCAGGTGTTGGGGGAAATCTCGTCCTCCTCCAGGCCTTGGGGCCCCTCCACATCCTCCGTGTCCTCCCCCTCCATGTCCTCCCAGCTCTGGCTCTGGTCGGGCATCCAGCTCTCCGGACGGTCTAGCCCCGTGTACACCATTCCTGCTGTTCTGTTTGGATCCATTCACCGACAGCCTCTTTCTGTAGCTCTGTGATGTCCTGCGTCTCCACTGGGGTTTCCACGTAAAACCCAGATGAATTTCAGATGGACAATGAATGAATTTTTAGTTTAAGTATGTCCTATACTGCATATTACATGGTGCGTACTTATACTAAAAAAAAAGTATTCGTTGCTTCTCTGATTCAGAGTTAACTGAGTGTCCTCTATTTCCATCTGCTAAATCTGGCCACCCTACTCTCCAGCCCTCTATCTGGGATCATTTCCTGTTGACTGGACCAGTTGCCCTTGTAACATCGTCTAGAGCAGGTCAACCGGTGGAAAATTCTGCCAGAGTTGTGTGTCTCGGTCGTCACTGGTCAGAGGCGCCATCCCCTGTGTGGCTGTGGGGCCAAGAGGGAGCCCAGGAGCAGGAAGGGACTAGAAACCTGTGACTGGACTCACCTAGTCTGCCCTGGGAAGGTTGGCCTGGTCACCCATGGCCTATCCTGGCTCTGGGTGATGAGCATCGGGTCCACCCCAGGACCCTCTCACTCCAGAGCCAGCCGGCATGGACGTCTGCTGGGTGGCCAGTGGGCAGTGACCCTGTGTCTGCCTCTGGACAGGACGAGGACCCGCATCCACCATGGTGAAGCTGGGCTGCAGCTTCTCCGGGAAGCCGGGCAAAGACCCCGGGGACCAGGATGGGGCTACCACGGACAGCGTCCCCCTGATCAGCCCCCTGGACGTCAGCCAGCTCCAGCCACCATTCCCTGACCAGGTGAGGAGCCTGGGCCAGCATGAGGGGCCCTTCTCTGCCTGCCCTGGGAACAGAGGGGTGGGGGGAGGGTTACTCGGACGTGGCCTCCTCCAAGGTGCAGGAGGGCAGGTGGAGGAAGGACTGGGCCAGCCGGAGGCCCAGTCAGCCGCAAGCAATCCCCGTGCCCTGGGCAGCTCCCTCCTCATCTGTAAACCAGGGTGAACTGGCAACCTTGACAATTCACATGCTGTCTTGCAGACAGCACCCAGCCCATGGAGCTGCCCAGCAGGGACCCAGCAAGCAAAACTGCCCACCCTCCCGGCGGGGTCGCCGTCTTGGGTCAGGGCCTGAGGGGCCCTGGGGCAGGTGATCGATGGACAGGGAGCTTTCAGCAGGAGCCTGTGAGAGCAGAGCTCAGCTCCAGCCCTGCTGACCCCCCGGGAGCTCTGGAGTGTGAAGAGCACCAAGCATTGTCCCCGTGGAGGGGAGGGGTGGCCACCTGTCCCACGTGAGTCAGCCACTCGCTGGGGACCAACCGTGGGGCCAGGGTGCCTCCCAGGCACTGCCAGTTGTGCCGCTCCTGTTGGCAGAGGATCTGGGTAGGCTCCGCTGCATGTACTACAGTTCTGGACCCGATTCTCAGGGGAAGAATTGACTCCATTTTTGGGAAGGCTCAGCCCTTGCCCATCAGGAGCACAGAGCACAGGACTGCACCTGCCTATGCCCCCTGTGGTAGGGCCTCAAGACTCTGGGATCAGAGGAGAAGTCAGGGCAGCTATGGAGCCACTGAAGGGTAAGCTCCTGGCAGGGAGAGCTGGCACCCTCAAGAGTTGAAGGCAGCCATGAGACTGAGGGACTCCATCCATTGCCTGGCCAGGCCCCAGGGCTGCCATGGGCTCAGCAGAATCTCAGCGTCCACATTCCCTCACCCTCAGCTTGTAGCAGTTGGAGCCCGGCCACTAGACAGTCCTGGCACATGGTCAGCACCCACACCACTGCAGGGCAGCTGACCCCTGGCCCCTCCCCTCCCAGCCCTCCCAGCCCAGGGTCCTCCCGGCTCATCTCTTTCCTCAGGTGGTCATCAAGACGCAGACCGAATACCAGCTGTCCTCCCCGGACCAGCCGAAGAAGTTCCCCGACCTGGAGGCCCAGAAGCTGACCTGCAGCCACCCGGAGGAGGGGCGCAGGGTAACGGACTCTCCCGGTCCCGGGCCACCTCCATCCGCCCCTCGGGGAGTCAGGGCAGAGTAGGGGGACAGGTGGCGCAGGCCGTGGGCACCCAGGCTCGGGGCCACGGGCGGGACCCTGGCCCAGGCTCCTGCTCCCAGGAGACCTGGACAGGGAGTCACCCATCCAGAGGCCCAGGGAGGGGTCTGGGTGGCTCCAGGGACTTGGGGCCGGCCAGCCCCAGGCCAGGTGCCAGCCTTCAGCGCCGGCCGTGCCCCCCGCCTTCCTCCCCTGTGATGTGGGGCGAGAGCGGGAGGTGTGCAGAGGGTTCCAGCCATGGCTGCTCTGGCCGGGCAGGACCTCACGTTGTGTGCAGTCTTCCCCGTGGTCACAGTCTTGTGATGCGTGGGCTTTCTAGGTACTGTGGAAAGGTACTTTTCCTGCAGTATCTCTGGCAAATGTTTGCTCCCATCTTTTTTTTAGCTCTTAACTTCACTAATGATGGCTTTTATCATTTTTAGTGTACTATGTCTGAAGCCTTTCATTTTTCAGCATAAAATCTGTCCCTTTGCCCGTGGTTTCTGAGATGGAAGGGCGCCCCCGACAGAAGCCTGGGAGCTGAGGGCTGCCCAGCCTCCGCCCCCAGCTTCCCCCTTGGCCCAGCTCGGCGCCCAGCCCCTGCGGCAGCCTCCCCTCACTGCGCCCTGTGCTCCTCTCCCTTCCTCGGCCCGCAGCTGCCCACGGCGCGGATGATCGCCTTTGCCATGGCGCTCCTGGGCTGCGTCCTGATCATGTACAAGGCCATCTGGTACGACCAGTTCACCTGCCCCGACGGCTTCCTGCTTCGGGTAAGGCTGCACAGGCCTGGGCACCGGGTGGGGAAGGCCTCCGGCCAGAGCGCCAGGGAGGGTCCCACGGGGTCTCCCTGTGGAAGAATGGGGGCGCCGCGCCTCCTTTCCCTATCCAGCGGCACCTCCAGAGGCCACCAGGATGTTTCCCGCTCCTGTGGTGACTTGAAATCTCTGGAGAATAAACGTATTTAGGGACATTGTCTACAATACTATTGAACTGTTCAAAAGCAGAAAGGACAGGAAGCCCCAGAAGTGACCGCCCTCCCCGCGTGTGGCACACGAACGTGGCTCCCACGTCGTGGCCGATGCCATTCCATTCAGAACTCACGCCTTTCGCACATCTGAGCGCAGAGGCAGCCCCAGCCTCTTCCGGCCCGAGCTCCTCCGGCCCCTCCACCCGCCGCGCGCCCCCTTCCCGTCCCAACCTCTGCGCCCCTCCCACCTCCTCGCGTCCCCGCCCCGGCCCTGACCCGTCCCCCTCCAGCAGCACAAGATCTGCACCCCGCTGACCCTGGAGATGTACTACACCGAGATGGACCCCGAGCGCCACCGCAGCATCCTGGCGGCCATCGGGGCGTACCCACTGAGCCGCAAGCACGGCACCGAGCCGCCCTCGGCCTGGGCGGGGAGCTACCGCGCCAGCAAGGAGGCGCCCAAGGCGCCCACCCAGGCGGGCGCGGCGGCAGCCACTCAGCCCCCCGGGAAGCCCTCGGCGCCGGGAGAGGAGGCGGCGCAGAAGGCGGCGGGCAGCGCGCCGCCTCCGGCACCCCAGTGACAGGATCCGCGCCCGAAGCCCGGGTAGGTGCGTCCCCGGGCCCAGCCCCTGCCGATGCCTCCGAACCGGGGTCCCTTCTCCCTGCCCGGTCCTGGGGGCGCCGGCCCTGCAGGCCAGAGCCTTACTCGGGGGCGGGGTCCCTCCGCGCCGCCCCCGGACAGCGTCTGAGCGCCTGAGGGGCTTGGGCGGGGACAAGGGGCGGGGCCTGGGGACGGGGACGGAGCGTGTGACGGGCAGGGGAGGAAGGCGGGCTCAGCCTCCCTGTCTTCCCGCGCGGGTGGGCGGTGGGGGTCGCGTGTTGGCCCGCTTTCACCCCGGCCTCTGTCTCCGCAGCGCCCCGCCGGCCCCCGATACCGCCTCGCCGCCCCCGCTGTGGCCGCGCCCCTGCTCTCGGCTCCCTGCTGACGTCCCCCTCGTGAGCCTCGCTCTGTCGCTTTTCTCTAAGTAAAGATTCACATCCACGGGTATCCAGTGTCCTGAGCATCCTTGGTCCCGCCGGCCTTTTTCCTGCACCGCCCCCCACGTGGGTGAGCGCCCGCATGGCGCCCCCCCCTCCACCCCCCGCCCAGAGGGACCCATGAAGGAGCCGGGGAGGCAGCAGCGGCCGCAGAGGGACAGTGGGTGGGCCCTGGGAGTCCGGAGCCACCGTGTAGGGCAGCCTGAGGGCCAGAGCCCCGCGCGCACAGGGTCTTGTCTGGTCCATTGCTTGGCTGGAATACGTTCATCCCCACCCAAGGGGCCCCCCGGGTCTTGGGGTCCATCCCTGATCTCTGCCCAGCCCCACCCCAGCGTGTCCACCCCGTCTCCCAGGTTGGGCCTGCCTCCTGGGTCCAACTGGAGTATCTGACCGTCCTGGCTCCAGGCGGTACCCCATACGGCTCCTGCCCCCAGCAGCGGTGCCCACGGACATGAGTGATTGAGTGAAGAAAGGAGTGAAGGCGTTGATCCGAGGGACACTTGGGGCCTCTGGGGAGGGAGCGTAGGCCCCACGCTCCAGGAGCACCCTGCCTCCTGTTTCCCCAGGTCTGGGGGCCCATGGACACCCGGAGCTGCCCAGAGTCTCCTCATCCCCTGGGGCAGCTCCCACATGGTGGCTCACCTCAGGCAACGCAGGCCACCCCACCCCTCCTCCCCTTCCCTCTCCCCTCCCCCTTCCTCTCCCCCTCTCCTTCCAATTTGGGCGGGCCCCATGTCTGCTCCCACCTGGTGAGCCATCCCTGCCCTCACCTGCCTACCCCCACCCCGGCACCTGTGCTCCTCCGATGGCTTTGATCCCAGTCAGACACCCTGCCTAGTGGGAGGGGAGCTCAGGCCTTGGCACTAAGGGCTGGCTTTGAGGGTGGTGGTGACAGAGCCTACAGAACTCATGAGGCCAGGGGACACAGCTTCAGGCAGGACAGGCCTCTGTTTCCTGTGCTGCTCCATGGAGGGTGACCGTGCCCGACAGTGCAGGTGCCTGCCACACATGGGTCAGAGTCCCTGGGGAGGCCCCCTGGCCCCAGTGCAGAGCCCCCTGACTTGGACGAGAGCCCAAAGCGTCTCCATGACATCAGGGCCCCCTCCAGGGCCAGCGTCAGCCAGTACGACCTGCAGAGGGTGGTGGGGCCCAGTGGTTTCCAGAGACCTGCTGGGGGACATGGGGCTGGTACTCAGACCCAGGGTAGGACCCACACCATCCAGCCTCCAGGCCTGGGTGGCAAGATGGGGGGTCTGGACAGCTTTGGAATAGCAGGTCTTGCCCAGGAAGTGAGTGAGATGGGTGTGCGAGGGAAGCTGTGAGCACACTGGAGGTGAGGTGGACAAGGGGGTGGGAGCAAAGGTGGGGGTCGAGGGGGAGGGTGGGGGAGGGGTCAGGGAAGGCTTGGCTGTGCACACTGCCCTTCATCACTTGGCTCCTGTCTGTCCATCCATCCATCCCTCCCTCAACTTACCACTCAATATCTATCATCTATTTCTCTGTTTACTTATCTATCATTATCTGTCCATCTGTCTGTCTACAGAGCACATCATCTCTCCAGCCATCTTCGGTATAAAGTGTTTTCTGAGCCCTTGAGAGGAAGGTGCCTCGTCCCCCTTAGATACCTCAGCGTGGATTCCCAAGATCAAGGGTGTTTTCTTACATCACTTCCATGCAGGGGTCAAAATCAGGAATTTAACTTTGAGACAATACTATTATCTAATCTTCAGACCTTATTAATATTTGGCTAGATGTCTCACTAACGTCCTTTTGAGCAAAGTGAAAAATCTGGCCCAGGGCCCCATGTCGCCTTCTCTCTTGACCCTCCTTCTGCCTGGGGCAGCTCAGCCTATTTGTCACGACCAAGACAGTTTTGAAGCACACAGGCCAGGATTTGTGTAGCCTGGCCTCATCTTGGACCCCCGCGATGTGTTTTCGTAATCAGCTGGAGAGATGCGTCAGGATCCACGTCCCCAGAAGTGATGCTGTGTCCTCCTCAGTGTCACAGGAGGGGCCCATGAGGTCTGCTTGTGCATTCCTGGTGACATTAACTTGGATGGCTTGGCTAAGGTGGCTTCTGACAGGGTTTTTTTCCTGTAAAGTTACCATTCTTCCCTTTTTGTGGGAAGATACTTTGAGATTATCTGACTATCTCATTCCTCACCAAACGCCCCACCCAGTTGCAGCGTCCATTGGCGGTTCTTGTCCGAATCAATAATACTGTCTTTTCCAAGTGGTGATTTTCTAAATTCATCATTTCTCCTGCACTTACTAGTCGATGTTGTATTAGTAGATTGTAACAAAAGCTTTCCCTTCTCACTCTTTATTTATTGAGTCATTTATTTCTATCAGTGTGACCCATGGATTCCTGTTTTATTCAGTGGGTTACAATCTGTTACTGTCATTATTTATTTTTATGTTCACCTTGTTCCATATTTGGCTGGTGGGAGTCGTCCTTTTGACATGTCCGCCTCATTCTCTGAGCACAAAGATGCTCCGAGGCTCATCTTGCCCTGCCGGGATCTGCTGCTGGCTAGGCCCTCCCAGTGGATTGGGGTTGGGGGTGGGATATATATACAGGTACACCTCCTCTCTGTGAGTGTGTATGCGTGTGCATGAGTAAATACATACACACGTAGACACAATCCACATAAATGCATACACTAGATCCACAGGCCGTGTGCACGCCGAGTATGCGTATACAGTGCACATGAACCGCCGTGAGTTCACAGCGATGCTTCCAGTTTCAACCCCAAACTGCAGGGTTTCTTCTCGTCTTCCCCCTTCCCATATGGATACCTCCCTTCTCCAACAGGGAGGAACCTGGTTCCTATTATCCTCGACATATTTATTTGCTGAGTCTTAGAAGACTCTGAAATTCGTCCTGGAACTGGGGACCCGCACCACGAGAACCAGCCGACACACTGGAGTTCGGTGTTTGTGTGGAGTTCTTCTTGTCTTTGATCTGAGGAGACAGAGTCAAAATGCTACGTGCACAAGTGGTGTGGGCTCTCTCTTCACGTCAGCGTGGTTGCTTCATTCCTTTGAAATATATGGAGTCACTTATCATTGCTTGCACTCCATCTTAGGGTCCTCCCCCAACTTCTGTTGATTCTAGTCTATCATTTTTTAGTATGTAAAACATTAACACATTGTGCCAAAAGGCAAATCATACAGGTGTGTCCGGGAGGTCAGTTCCCCTCCCCCCCCAACCCCTGAAGGAAATCAATCTTATTGGTTTCCAGGCCAGCCTTCCAGGGTATCTTTTTGCAAAGATAAGCAGATGTATGTGCATTTTCTTATTTCTTCTGCTTTACATTTTCCACCCGAAGGGAGTTTTTTCACACCAACGACAACCAATTCTCCAACACCAGCTGGGTGTCCTACAATTCAGTCCTACCTGACACCGACTGCACAGAGTTGGTGCAGACCCCACAGGTTAAGGGCTCAGTCCCACGAGACTGCCCCCACCTCAGACACCCTCACAAGGATCCGGGCCCCAGGCCACCCGCAGGGCAAGGTATGGGGGTGGGGGCTGGGGGCCTCCACGGCCTCTCCTGGCCCCATCCTCCCAGCTCCTGATGTGTTCACCAACCTACGAGCTGGTTCGCCAGACCGCCTCCCTCAGGAGTTTCTGTAACCCAGTGTGCAGCCCCTCCCCACCCAGAGGTCAGACTATGCTCTGGTCTTTCTGGAGACCAGCCCCCCACCCTGGAGCTACCCAGGGGCTCCACCTGAGTCATCTTATTAGCATGAACTCAGATGTGGTTATGAGAAACAAAATACACCTGTCCCTCAAGAAATCCCAAGGGTTTTAGGAGCTCTGCACAGGAACCCGGGACAAAGGCCCAATATCTTTTTAATTTCACTACATTCGCTTCACAGCATTCGCTGGAGGCCATTCCACATCCGTACACAACATACGCACATGGGTGCACAGGGATTTTCCTCACTCCTCGTCACAGCTGTGTAGCAGTCCTCGGCAGATGGACCCTGTTTACTCAACCCTCTCCCACATATGGGTGTTTAAACTGTTCACAATATTTTTGCAATAAAGACAATGCTGTAATGAATAATTTATGCATATGTATTTTTCATTGTTAGAGATTTACCTTCAGGGCAAATTCCTAGAAGTGGAATTGCTGTGTTAAAATTTTTTAATTTATAAAATTATGCAGTTTTATAATTTATCATTATAAATTTAAAACCAGCTTTTCTCAAGCTTTAAAGCTCAATTAAAAGCTTACTAATAAATCTAGTAACTTCCGTGTTAGTGTATGTCTTCACTTATTCTTTAACATTCTGCTAACTTATACATTTGACATATTCAGTCTCTCTAAACTTTTTAAGACATTTCACAAATGTGACAAGCTTGATGAATTCGATTCCCTGGCATTTCAAGCTATATTCACGCGTTGACACAGCTGACCCTCCTGAGCTCTGGAACCTTGGACGGCGCAGACCCACAGACCCTCTGACAAAACCTCCCCGAGCGTTTGTGCATGACTCACATCCAACACCACGGGAACGTCGTAAACTGAGACCCTCTCACATTCTAACACTAAAACCCACGGTCATCGAGATGAAATTCAAGCCGTTTCAAATTAAAACAAGTCACGTGCGCTACACCCTCATAAGAGCTTCACACGCTTCCAGCAGTGAGCAGCAGGGGTTTACGGGGCTCGTGTGGGGGCTCCTGTGGCTTCTGGTTGAACCTACCCTGAGGCAGCAAGAGCAGGGCTCCCTGCCCTCCCTCACCTGCCTGCGCCCTCAGGAGGGCAGAGGCGCTGGCTGGTGCTGTGACCGCCTCTGGGACTGACTCACAGCGGGGGGGTTGTGGGTTCTAGCTGGGTCAGGGTGTGGGGTGAGCCTCCGGCTCTGGGGGTCCCTGCCAGGACCCTGCAGTCGGCCTGGCCCCTTTGTCAGAGTTGGGCTCTGGTTTGTAACCCAGGGTCCCACGCATCCTCCAGGCGTCCTTTAAATTTTGTTCCCACCCAAATTTTACAGAAGCCTCTTGCAAAAAATTTCACAATGCGGATGCCCTGGGGTGGAACCCTCGCTGGGTTCCTTGAGGTGGGTCATCGTAGGAAGAGTGCAGCATGGTCTGCAAAGGTGGGCGCCACCCTGGACCCAGCACCAGGCCAGCCCCCCGACTCGGCCCGCTGGCAGTCCCATCTCAGGCTCTGCCCTCATGGGGGGTGACGCTAACACCATGTCAGTCTCAGCGGGAAAACAGACCCTGGACCCTCAGCTACCAGCCTGCATCACACAAGGGGAACGGCGGCCTTTGGGGCCGTGCTTTCACTGGGCAGACGGCAACGTCTCCATCCTTGATGAGTTCCCTCATTCCAGGCCTTGATCGGTCCTACGGTCAGCTGCACAGCCAGCTTGGCTGCAACACTTGTTCTCTGAAAATGCGTTTCCATGTGACTGAGGTATTTGGAGCAATTTGAGCAGAACATGAATTTTGCTTGGTTAGGCGTGGTTTCCATGGTGAGAAATGCTAGGCTAACACAGAGCAGGGCACTCGGCTAGGGGTACACGCATGCAAACACGTGCATGCCATACACTCACGCGCACACACATGCACGTGCCCACAGACACCCTGTCAGTGGCCACACAGGACAACCTCCAGCCATGACTTCCCCCACCTCCTCCCCCCTCTTCACAGTAACTCACAAGCACGGCCCCAGGAGCCCAGGTCCTCACAGTGGTTTCAAGGTTAAGTGCCCTCCCCCGTCAGGTAAACACTCCCTGACTAAGGACCAGGCCTGTGGGCACAGGGACACATTCAGCAGGTGGAAGACCCCTACTCAAGTTGGTCATCACAGCCCCTCGCCAATGGGACCGTCCCAGAAATTGAGCCACATCGGTTCCGGGAGCACAGAGCACCTTCTCCCTGCCAGGCACCCATCAGGAGCCCCAGGGAAGAAAGCTGAGCCTGGGGTTCTAACACCAGACACGGGGCTGTGCGGGGCGGCGAGAGGGGACTCAGCTCCAGGGTCGGCTCCCCGCTGCGTCTGGGCCATGGCACCCTGGGGCCTCTTAGAAATTCAGGTTCCTGTGTGACCTGGCAGTGTCGCCTCCCAAGGTGACCCACACTGTGACCCTTGGCATGAGCCCAAGGTGTGACTCCGAGGAGTTGCAGCTTGAGGAAGACAGTGGGATGCAGGAGCCAGGACACACACACTCTTCACCCAGGCGTCCGAGGATGTGGTGACCCTCCCAGGATCCCCTCTGCACTCTTGTGCGCACACACACACATGCACAGTCATATATATGCATGCACACACACATGCACACGAGCTCTCACTCTCCCTCCTCCCCAGATGTCCCTCCACACATGCATCCAGATTCATGTTCTCCTGGGGTGGAGACCCTCCCCAGGAGGGGTGGTAGGTGGGCCAGCAGGCGGTGGCAGCTGTCCTGGAGGTTGAACGGGGGCTCGTTGAACTGCAGAGTCTGACCTGTGTGTGTTTTGAATGGACTCCCGGCAGAGCCAGCCTCCAGCACCCGCTGGGCTGCGTCCCCAGGTGGACCCTCCGCCTTGGTCAGTGAAGGGTTTCTGCCGCTCACCCAGCAGCAGGGTTTCCAAGGCCCCTGAGGCCAGCAAGGCTCGGCCAGAAGTGCCAACGCCCATCAGCTCCTCAGTGTCGTCTGCTGAGGGCACCCTGATGAGGGTGCTCACCGCCCTGTCCCCTGTGCCGGTCCTCTCACAGCAGCAGGTGGCTCCAGGTGTCTCCTTGGCCAACATGGCCCTCAGCTACTTCTGCATCTGGAGAGCCCCTGGCTTCTCAGCGAGGCAGCTGGGGCCACCTTCACGCTCTGTTCCCGGCTGGGCCTGGTGCTCAACTGCCGGCCTCTCCACAGTCCCGCCCAGGTCTGCAGGGTGGACCTATAAGGAGACGACTCTGCACGTGGCCTCAGACCCCACGCCCAGGCCATCCAGGGCAGGTCCAGAACAGCCTTCTTCTGACCCCCCGGGGGGACTGCAGTGAGGGCAGCTCTGGCCCATCCCACTGTCCATGGTGAGGCTCACCTGACCCACAGGGCAGAGGCCAGCCAGGGGGGGTCAGTGGAGGGGCCTAGGGAGCCCTGGTGGCATCTATGACCCCTAGCCTCATGAGGGGCTCCCAGGGCTGGTCAGAACCTCAGCCCCTCCCTGGGGCCCACAGGCCCCAGCCTGCTGAGACCCAGCCCAGGACCAGAGGTGCTTCCCAGGACGTCGGAGGAAGGTGGAGCTCCCAAGGTCCTTCCTTCCTCACCTGCCCAGGGCAGTGCATTTGGGGGCTCTCCTGGGTCAGGGATAGGGGGCTGGCCTGGGGCTGACAGCTGAGGTTGGGCACACAGTGGCCTCTGTTCCCCACTCCCCTCTGCAGGCTGCTGCTCCTGGATGTAGCAGGTGTTCCTGGGGGCAGGGACTCCAGCAGCCTGAGGACAGGGACCCTCCAGACCCCCAAATGCTGACTGCTGGTGCGGGTTGTGAGGCTGAGGGGTCAGGGCAGGTGGTGTGACTTGGGGCAGCCCTGTGTCCACGCTGCTGGGAGCTGGGCTGGGGTCCCGGCATTCTGGAGCCACAGGCCTGGGTCACACAGCCCTTGGGCGGGTGCTTGGGGGCCCCAGAGACCCTCACTCCAGACCTTGCACTCTGAGGAGACCACCCCTTGAGGTCCAGCATCCCCCACAGCCCGACACTGCCCAGCCCCAGGAGGGGAATCTGCGCAGGAATCGGGGGCAACCAGACGCCACATGGGGAGCTGGAGAAGGGGCTGGCTGAGGCGGGGCTTCAGGCCGAGGGACGGATGAGGGTCCTGCAGACACAGCCTCCTTGGTGTCATGTCCCGGGAACAAGATGAAAGGGACTTGGGTTCCCCACAGCTGCACGGAAGACCAACCATCCCATGAAATGGCTCATTTAGATGTTTTCCCTTTATTGTGTGCACAAATGTGTTATTTCATGACTTAAAAAGCTCAGCCCTTTGAAGTAACAGACTGTGGCCTCCTTTTTGTCTATCCTACCATCTCTCGGCTGCGCTACGGGGCAGGAATGCCACTGTCACCATGCGCCTTGCCCAAGGGGCCGTGGGGCCGTGTGTGTGAGTGTGTGCACACAGCTAGGCCTCGGCCCCCAGACCCCTGGGTACTTCCCCCAGGCCTCCCAGGGCTGCAGCCAGGACCCCAGGACCCAAAAGGCCTGGCCAGTTGCCCAGCTCTGTGCCTGGCGCTCTGGCGCTCTCTGGCACAGCCACATTCTGGGCACCGAGTGGACTCTCAAGGACTCTAGGCCACGCCAGCCTCTCTGTGTCTATGGACACCACTGTGTTGTCTCCGAGCTTGGCCCCGGCCCAGAGTGAGTGTGGGTGGGCCTGTTGGGGTCCTCGCCCTGCGCCATGACTTTTCCTGGGGATGGAGGACCCAGTGGAGTCCAAGCGGGCCCTGGAAGGCAGCAGGAGCCCCCACTGCTCCCGTGACGCTCCCTCTCCATGTGGGGCCCAGATGGTGCCCCTTATATCTCACAGACCAGATATAGGACCCCTTGGGGTGGGCCCTGGTGCCGAGCACTGCCCCCAAGAAAGTTCCAGCACCCGAAGCTGCCCAGCAAGCCCCAGGGCTCACAGGATGTTCTGCCCACTTGGCAGTGTCCACCTCCTGGCCATGCTGGCTCCCAGTCAGCTTCCAACACTTAAGTGTGCAGGGGAGCTGGGCCCTATCGGCTACAGGAGAACGCCATGTCAGGACCCATCCTTGGGGGTCCTTGAGGGTCTGGGCTCCTCCCTGACACCAGTGCTCACACTGTCCCCTGCCCAGAGTCCCCCTTATCTGCCTCTCACACTCCTGCCTGCTGGTCAGTCTCCTCCAAGGGAGACCCTCCCCCTGCAGCCCTGGCCCGGGGACAAGGTCCAGCCTCTGTGCCAGCTTCCAGCAGGATGCCGGCATGAGGCTTTGCTCAATGAACTCTTGCTAAGTAGGGTGCAGGGTGCCAGATGTGAGCCGCGGTTCAACAACAGACCACAAGAGGAATGGAAGTAGAGAAGTCTGTTGCTCACGAGTCCTACAGAGGAACATGCTGTGCCTCAGAAGGCCACTGGTGGGGGGGCCATGGCAGGGTGCAGACAGAGCGGGCAGACAGAGCACATGCCTATAGTAGGTCTGGGGGTGGAGTGCTTTGGGGTTCCCGGGCCAGGGCTGGATCCATCAATTCAAACCAAAAGAGTAGGTCTGGCGAGCCCCACGGGGTCTCATCTAAGGGGCGCACAAGGGCAAGGTCGTGGGAGGGGGAAATTTGCTCATGAGGGCTCTTGGGGAAGTCACATCAGGAAGCGGACCCACTGTGACCATGTGGCTCCCCTCTGGGCCTGCACTTGCAGGCGGGTGGTTGTGGAGGGGGTTGGTTGGTTTAAGGCCCCTGCAGGCCACTTGGCCACACAAAATGGATGCAGGGCAGCAAAACCACAGAAGCTGAGCTAAACTCTCGCCAACGCAGCACCAGGCCAGGGCCCGAGGACTCCCTGAGGGTGCAGGGAGCATCGGTAGCATAGACCTCAAGTCTGCCACTGCTTGTTCACAGACAGGTAAACTGAGGCCCAAGGCAGAGCCCCAGGGCCACCCCTCACCTCCAAGGTCCTGCCCTGATGCTTAGGGCTGGAGCTGAGGGGGTCTCTGGGGATCCCGAGTGGAGCCCACTGGGCACAGGTATGAGGTGTGGGGGCCTCACTCCCCCCGCCCCTGTGGGACAGAGCCCTGCGGGGCCACACAGCTCAGCCTCGTGCTGCTCGCTGCTGTGTCTCCAGCATCCAGGACCCATCCACGTCCACATCCCACAGACGCCCCTCTGTTCTGAGCAGCGTCAGCAGAAATGCTGAGACCTGAGCTCAGAAAGGAGGACAGAGGACACCCCGCCAGCCTCCAGCCCCAGGCACACCTCCTCCCTCCGGGGCAGGGTGGAGCCAGGCCGCAGGGAGCAGGGCAGGAGCAGGAGTGGCGAGCAGTCAGCGGCCACATGCAGACCGAGGTCTGAAGGGGTGTCGAAGCTGAGGCAAATGCAAGCTTCCCCATTTCCAGCCAAGGCCAGCTGTGGCCGGCACCTTGAGGGCTCAGCGTGGACGGCGGGGGCACACGGGGGGTGTGTGAGTGTCGGCGCCCAGAAGGCTGAGGGTGAGCGGCCCAGTCCCTCGGGGTTGGCCTGTTCTCCCTGTCCCCGTGTTCCAGCATGAGGGGCAGGAGCCTGGAGGAGCTGCCCAGAGAGGGCGTTCCGCCCCGGCCCCCTGGTTGCTAACCGGCCATCCAGAGAGGGGCAGTGACTGTCCTCTGCCAAGGAGTGGGCCAGTTTCTAAGGGGACCTGAAGGGTCCCGAGTTGAGCCTGCTGCTTCCCCAGCCCATGCTCAGGTGGTTTGACCAAAGCCCCTCCCCAAGCTGTCAGGCCGGAGCAGGACACAGGCCTGGTGGGCTGTGGGCGGTCACCTCTGCCCTCAGAGCAGGCTGTGGGGTCCTCTGGGTGGTCGGGGGCTGAGGCCGCCTGCTTGGCACAGTCAACAGAGGCGAGAGGCCCATCATCCAGGCCTCATGGCAGCCATGTCCGCAGGGCCAGCCGAGGGGCAGCTGGACATCCAACAGAAGGTGCCGCTCTGGGGCCCCTCCCGCCATCAGACAGGGTTGACCCCGAGCCCCCCACGTCTCTTCAACTGCAGAGAGACGAACTGGCAGAAGCACAGGCCCAGTTCCTGGTGGCCCCGTGCTCCCGCGACGTCCTTGCACAGGGGGAAGTGTGCGTGGGCAAGGCAGCAGGCATAGCTGCAGGAGAACTGCAAGAGGGCCTCCCGGAACAGGGCCTCGCCATCGGAGGCCTGCAGGAAGACCCGCCTGCAGTCCCCCAGCAGCACGTACACAAAGTGCAGCTTGTTGAGGGTCTCACAGCCCATCAGCACCGAGTGGCCCGCCAGCAGGAGGTTGGCTTCCCCGACTCTGAGGACCACCTCCCGCATCTTCCTCTTAGAAAACCTTCTGAACCAGCACAGGGTGCTGACTGCTAGGACCAGGAGGAGGGGACAGAAAAATATATTGGCGGCGATTAAGAGGAGGTGCTGAGCTGGAGGGTTTGGACGGAGCCCCAAAATCAGGGGGGGAATAATCGATCCCATGGAGAGAAAGATGAGGAGAATGCCGAGCGTGACTCTGCAGCCCACATACCGGAGGCAGGACCTGGGGGACTGCACCCCATTCAGGATGCCCACGGCACGCCTGTACACCTCAGGGTCCTCCAACACCTCCTTCAAGGGGTCCGGGACGACCAGGGTGCTGAAGGTGCCCACCCTCCAGGAGGGCAGGCTGTCCCTGTTGATGCAGTTGAGGGTCAGCAGGGGCTTGCCGCTGTAGAGGGGGGAGGTAGGGCGCAGGGCCCGCGGGGAGCTTGCCACCTGGTGGTTGGGCGTGCACAGGAGCTGCACCAGCTTGTTGTAGAAGCGGCTGTCTGTGGCCTCCAGGTAGGTGAGGTGGCTGAGGTGCAGCGGGACCCGGCAGGGCCTCAGCAGGATCGGGACGACCGGCTTCCTCTCAAGGCAGGAACCAAAGAGTGACAGGTCGGCCTCTAGGAGGCACCACCGGCTCTGCACGAAATCCTGGCTCAGCACCAGCAGCACCTTCTGGCTCTGGTGGATGCACTCCGCCATGTTCTCCAGGACGTTCCTGCCCGGGGTGAAGTCCCGCTCGTGCAGGCAGACCCTCAGCCCCATGTGGTCTGCTTCCAGGCGGCTGATGAGCCCGTGGGTCCACGTGGCGTCCACGCTGCTATAACTCACAAACAGGTGGAACTTCTCGCTCAGCCTCAGTGGAGGGATGGTCAGAGCCTCACCCTCCTCCCCGGGACAGGAATCCATGGGCGCTGCCCCCGGCATCTGCCTCTGGTCTCAGAGAAAACTGCCCTCAGGCTGCAAGAGATCAGGACAGACAGACAGACTGGACAGACGGACAAGGACAGACCACCGATAAAGATGGAAGCAGGTCCACAACCTGCAGCAACCAGTCCAGGAAGCTGCAAAGGACCCCTGCAGCAACCAGCCGAAACCCCCAGGACACCATCAGTGACCGCCAGCTTCCCCTGGTTACAGCTTCCCCTTCCAACTCAGGACCCACCCGAGAAAGTCAAAATGTTCCCTGAACCCATCATAGGACACCGTGCTTCTAGATCCCGTCCCAGCCTCCTGGGCCCCCAGCCCCCATCAGGGCAGCCCTGAGCCCCACTTTCCTCTATGAATCTTCACTCCTCTGCCCGCCTTTGGGTCTCTACCAAACCCAAGTGACAGGGACCCCCTGCTCCAGTGCACTTGAGGATTCGGCCTCCACTGTTCTCATCTGGGGGACTTCGGTGATGTCCACAAGACATCTGGCTTTGAAAGGGTGGGGGCACACGGTGGCCACACCTTCCACTCCTTTCTCTCTCATCAGATGCGGTTCATGTGGTCACTCATGAGGGATTGTTATAGACTGAATGACCGTGTCCCCCTAAAATACGTATGCTGAAGCCCTAACCCCCAAGGTCATAGAGTTTGAGGTGGGCCCTTGGGGCATGATTACATCGAGAGGGTGGAGTCCTCATGACAGTATTAGTGTCCTCATACAAGAAACCCTAGAGAGCTCCCCCACCCTCTGCACACTGTGAGGGACAGTGAGAAGGAGGCAGTCCGCAAGCCAGGAAGAGAGCCCTCACCAGAACCCGACACAGGACACCTGAGCTCGGACCCCCAACACGACAACTGTGAGAAACGTGTGACTGCTGTTTCAGCCCCAGCCTGTGCTGTTGTTATGGGGCCTGAGCAAACTAAGAGGGGTCTTCCTCCGAAATGCTTGCTCCAGGAAGGGCAGTCACACTTTCCAGAAAGCACTAGAACTTTCTCAAGACCCTCACATCAAGATCCAGCTGCTCATACTCTGTGGATTGAGGGCTGAGCTTGAACTGCTGCCATGTGGGGTCTGTCTGCTTGTTTCTAGGAAAGCTTGTGAGCACCAGCTCCCCAGGACTCATTGCTGGGGGCTTCCTCGTGTGCCCACAACCAGCTGTAGTGGCCCCAGCAAGCGGCCCTGCCTGCTGGAGCCCTGCAAACCCCATGCAGCTGGCTCCGCAGGCAGAAAGCAGGCTGTGCTGTCACTCTACCCCGTGGCCCCCGGCTGAGAACCTTCCCCACTTGGGTGAGCAGGGACAGGGTCATGGGGGCCAGGCCAGCCCTGCAAGGCCCCCATGCCCTCTAGCAGCACCTCTGGGAAATGTCAGAGGAGGAAGCCTGAATGCCCACTGCCACTTCCACGAGGACTCTGGGGCCCCACCTCCTCTGCCCGGCAGCCGCAAGGAAGGCTCCAGCACCAGTGGTGACAGAGAGGGTGCTTGCCCCGTAGCCAGCCCAGAAAAGCCCAGCTGGAGCCTTTGGAAGAAGCTACGTTGCCTGCCCGTCCTGCCCAGGAAGCCCACGTGCCCTGGACGCCATCCCAAGCCCCCCACCCCGTCCCTTCCAGGAGGTGGCAGCTAAGAGTCAGATGGGTGAGGCTGTGGGGGACACAGTTGGAAAGCCTGGTCTTTCGGGGCCCCCACATCTCTCACCGGCACGCTCCAAACGGGTACGGGAGTGCGCTCCTTCTGCTGTGTCCTGGCCTACTCGAGGCAGCTGCCTGCTCCTTCTCCACCGAATCTCCCGCTGACAAGGCGTGTGGAGCTTGTTCACTGGGTCCTTGCGCACGGTGACTCAGGCCCTGTTCTGGGCACCAAGGGCCTGAATATCACAGGCTGTCGGTGGCCAGTACTGGCCACCCACACTGCCTGCTCCTCACTCCAGTCCTCAGAGGAGGCCCAGGGCGCAGCCAGGGAGCCCAGAGCTGCCCCCAGACAGAAGGAAGTTTGTGGCCAACACTTTCTAGAAGGATCTCTGCTAAGTGGGAAAATAAAAGAAGGAACCAGATTGAGGAAGTCACCGAGCACCAGATGGGGATGTGTTTGAGTGGAACAAGTGGCAATTGATGCCCCTGCTGGGAAAGACGCCGACTGACCCAGCAGGTCTACAAACTGGAAGCAAGATGGCTGGGAAGCTCTCGAAATCCGTCTGATGGTGATGCTGGGCCCTCACAGAGCGTCTTGGCTGGAGCCCTGCAGCTTGCTGGACACTGGGCCAGGCCCTCCAGCTGTAAGAAGTGACAGGAGGGGCCGCAGGTGGCTGGCACAGCTCCTGGTTGGGTTTAGCAGGGCAGGCCTAGCTGGGGTCAGGGGTAGGAGTGCACTCTCAACATCCGCGGGGCTGGCAGCACCCTCCAAGGGAAGACCCCAGCTGCTGCGAGACCCTCCTCAAACAGCCACACTCCAGCTCCACTGCTCTTTGCTCCTGGTACCTGCGCCAGGACATAAAACTCCAGGGTGCCCCACGGGCAGGGGCAACATTGGAGGGCAGTCCTAACACCCACAGCCTGGGGAGCCCAACCCCAGGGGCTGGGCAGGTCAGTCTGCCAATCACAGCCCTTCCTGGCTGCACAACCCCACTCCTGGCTCAGGGTGCAGCACCTGGGGACCCCGATTTTCCTCTGCACACCACCCTGGATCCCTCCCCAATACACACCACTTGCCCCTTTGCCCGGGGGTCACACTCACCCAATTCTGCAGGTGTGACCCCAGACCTCATCTCCCTGCAGGAGCCACTGGGAGACTCAGGGGCACCGCAGAGGACTTCACAAGACACCCACACACTCATATACTCACACACACACACACACACACACACGGCCTCCTCAGGCCCAGCTTAGGGACAGGTACCTGCCATAGGCAGAATGGGGGGAGCGGGCAGAGTGAGGCCTGGATGCTGACTCCCTATGCCCCTCCCACACATACCCCAGTAACTCCCCTCCGAGGTCAATAACTCTGCTCTTTGCAAAGCGCTCTGGTTCCCCACCTGATCGATCAGCGCCCTGGGGGGTCCAGGGTCCCTCCGGCTGCAAGCACCCCGACCCCTAGTCCTCCTCGCTGGTGTTGCCCATGCTCTGATTCCAGTTTGGGGCTGGCCGGGTCTGAGGGCCACGGCCAGGGGCCTGGGCATCAGCTCCTGCCCCCTCCCCGCCACACTCCCCCAGGGTCCCGCCTGCCTGTGGGGGAGTCGGAGCCCCAACCCTCCTTGGCCCACTGTTCCCCCTCCTCCGAGTGCTCAGCCGCAGGAAGACACCCCCACCAGGCGCAGGTCACTGGGACGCTGGCTGGGTGGGCGGGCCGGCAGCAGTCCAGGCACCCGGCCAGTTGGGACCCAGCCCACACCTGGCTCCTGACACACCTGGTCAGCACTCTCAGGGCACGTCTGCCACCTGTGCCCCACTCAGCTTAGGCCCCAGAACTCAGGGCCCTGAGAGGCACTGCCTTCTTGTCCCCAACTCCTGCCCTCGCCCACCCAGGCAGCCCCCTGGGACAGCACTCCAGAAGGTTCTGAGGAAGTGAATGACAGAAACCTCAGCTAAACCTCAGGTCGGTGGGAGGCCTGCAGGGGGAGCTGTCACCCCCATCCCACATGTCAACTACACCAAACAGGAAGAGAGGACACTGCATCTCCCACAGGAAGCACGATCATTTTACTGTGAAGGAAGATTTCTCTCCTACCTGGCAGCAGCCCAGCCAATGAGAAACACCACAGCTCAGCCAATGAGAAATGCCACAGCTCAGCCAATGAGAAACACCACAGCCCAGCCAATGAGAAACACCACAGCTCAGCCAATGAGAAATGCCGCAGCCCAGCCAATGAGAAGCTGTTGCCACCCTGAACTGTTACTCTCCCCCACTGGACTTTCCTTTAGAACAGCTGCTTCCTCTCCCCTCTTTTCTCTATAAAAGCAGTTCCCTCTTTTATTTTCTAGATTTGTTTATGGTTCACCATTGCATGCACATCCTGCATTGTAATTATTTTGGCTATTCCCCAAAAAACTCATTTTAAGGGTAAAATAACAGGTGAATTTTCTTTTTAAGTTACCAGTTCCCAGTGGGTTGTGATGCTCTGGAGGCCTGTCCCCCCTTCTCTGAGTCCAGTGTCCCTCAACCCGATCAGACAACAAGGCTCCTGCCTTTTGGGTCTCTGCATCCTGTTCCTGCCTCCCTACCATTTGACAGTTTATTGATTATCAAAGTCTGTTCTCAGGACAGGCAGTTTTTGGGAATTGAGGTGGGGGGAGGATGGGGAGGGGGGAAGGGGAAGGGAGGAGGGAGCAAGGGGAGAGGTGGGGAGGGGGCTGTGCTGACTGCCCAGGCAGTGTAAGGGGATCTGGCTGCTCTTTTTCTCCAAAGAAGACCCTGCTCCTCCCACAGGATCTGGTCATCTTGGGTGTTTGGGGAGGTCAGACTCTGGGGCTGTGTGTAATTTGAAAAGAAAAATCCAAGAAAACGGTGATTGCCTGCGATGGTGGGGGTCATGACTGGGGGCAAGCCCTGGATTGGGGAATTTGGGAGCCACTGAGGCCAGGCCCCCTGTTCCAGTCATTGCCCACCCGGGACCCCAGCTCAGGTGCAACAGCACTCACCCTCCTGGCCTGGGGCATGGTGGGGAGGTTGCATTGAGCTCTCCTCTGGATTTTGGATTCCTGGGGGCTCACTCAAGAGCTGAGGGACCCTCCTGACCCCATAGCGCCCTTTGCCTACCCACTCCTGTTTCCCCAGAAGGTGGCCAGGCCTCCCACGGTCAGCCCAGAAAGTGTCCTGTGGTTGATGAGCCGCCCACTGTTCTCAGGAGTTTTCTGGCAAGGACTCCATGCTCCCCCAGTGTCTTCAGTGGGTTCCCTCAGGGACCCTGGGGAGGCCATGACCTACAGAGCAGGTCCCACAACTGGTTTGAGGAGGGAGTCTGGGCCCCATGATGCAGGGGGTGGTGCTGGAGCTCTTTGCCCCGCCTGGCTTTCTCCTGACTCAAGGAGCCGCCCACGTGGCTGTAGCCGCCCCTGACGCAGGAAGGCTTAATAATCACTGGAAAAGGCTTGCCAACAAACTGTGACCCAGAGGTGAGAAGGCCGGTTAGCCAATGAAGGGTAAGACCTCCAGGGCGGGGCAACCTAAGCCTGGCATGGTCTCCTGGGGGCACAGATGGAGACAACGAGATATCGGGAGCAGGAGGGGCCGTTGCCTAGGAGGCCTTGCATGCTCCGAGATAAAAATATACGAGCACAGAAATAACATGATAATGTCAAAACAGAGGCCGAGGGAAGGTTCCTTGAGAAATCACTAAGAATTCTTGGCGTTCGATAATTACATTGTCCAGAACACCTGTGTATGTTCAACAGCTGTAAACTATGTATATATTGAAACGCTGGTTATAATAAACTCAGAGTGGCCATCAGCCCTCTCCACATCTATCCTGATGTGTACATTGGATTGTGACACCGACAGTAGCTCTTCTGCCTTTTAACGGGGTTTAGTGAAAACATTAGCTATTAATAGTTTCAGTGAGGTAAGTAAAAATTTTGTTTTCTCTTCAAGAACAATTGCACGTGAGTCCCAGGGGCCTTGTCCCACTGGAGACACATGAAGCTGCTAGGGGCCATGGAGACAAAACTCCTCCCCAGGCAGGTGACGTGAGAAGATGCCCCCTATGCAGCAGCAGGTTCCAGGGAGACAAGAATCCTGGCCCGGAGTTGGAACAATGCAAAATTAATCCTGTGCCTGAGGGGCAGAATGCACCAGGGCTCTAAGGGCACAGGAAGAAACATCTCCAGGACTGGAAACTGCCCTCTGAGCTTGTCTGCTGATCTGATGTGTGCCTGGATCGCTGCATTGGGCTCTTCGCCCCTAAGATCAGAAGGGGCTTTGTAGGAAGAGAAAGGAAATCGCCTGCTGTGCCCCAGTCTGTTTTGAATTAAGGGAAGGGTCCCAGGGCTGGGTGAGGGCTGAGTGGGCATGAGGGGACATGTGACTCATTTCTATGTCCTCCTCTGTCTCCTCCTGTAATGACCACAGGCCCAGGACAGGGATGGGGGTCAGGGTGGGGTGTGTCCTGGAGCATCCCCAAGAAGATGCCTGCAGAGGTGGGTTCAAATCTGCATATCCTTGGGCCAGCCCTGGTGGCCTACTGGTTAAGTTCCGCCTGCTCAGCTTTGGTGGCCCTGGTTCGGTTCCCAGGTGTGGACCTACATTGCTCTGTTAGCTGCCACGCTGTGTTGGTGACCCACGTACTAGAAAATAGAGAAAGATTAGCATGGATGTTAGCTCGGGGCAAATCTTCTTCACTAAAAAAAGAAAAAATCTGCGTATCCTTGATGGAACCTGGCTGGTACCTCCCTCCAGGCTCCCACGTGGGTTCCCAGGCCCCTCTCCCATCCCCCTGTGCAGCCTCTCCCCTCCCTCGACCCTCCTGGACAGCTGTCCCCCCCACTCCAGCCCTGTCTGAGTTGCCTCCTCTCCTGGGACAGGTGCTCCTGCCAGGTCAGCACATTCCCACTCAGAGTGAGTTCTCAGGGGGCACTTGGGGTGTCACCCACTTTCTACTCCTCCCTGCCCACCTCTCCGGCCACCCCACCCCAACATAGCCTCTGGGATCTTCTTGCTGCAGGACTTTAGCATATGTTGTCTTCTCCTCGTTGGCCTCCTGGAGAACTCAGCCTGGACAGGGCCTTGCCACTGGGTTGTGAGTCCCTGCTGAACCTCAGGAGCGGCTCTGAGCGAGTTCTAGTCAGCAGTGGGCAGCCGCCTCTTGAGGGCAGCCATGGGCCGGCCCATCCCTCTCACAGGCTGGGCAGGCCCAGGCCCTGGTCATCCTAAATGTGCTGGTGGCAGGAAAGGAGAGCGGAGGATGGTGGGGGAAGGAAGCCACGTGGGAGGAGAGTGCCAGGAAGGCAGGCCGGTGCTTTGAGACAGCTCCTGGTGATCTCCAGGCTGCTGGCCA